GGGGCGGCTAGGCCTAGATTACTTATTATAATATATAGACATGACTTTATACGTTTTAATTAAGAGATTACCCAAGTTAAAAATGTATACATTAAAGAGGAAAGGGAGTCTAGATGTGTATATCGTCCTGGAATGGCCACAGTAAATATCAGAGAGGTTACATATAAGTCTAGAAATCGCCCACTGCGCTTAGGGCCGGAAATCAGGTTACGCTCGAGGGGTAATTTTTTAGCCATTTGTCTTCGAAATACAGTCGTCGAAAATGAATGAAACTTGGTTACCAACCAAGGGAAACACCAAACTTAGTACAGTATAATCCACTTATATCGACATCCAATTTTATTGACATTTTGACATTATATCGACATATTTTCCAATAAGTACGCGAATTTTTCCTTGAATATCTTCACTAAACAATTTCTCTTATATTGACTTTTTTTTGCCCACTCTACTTTATCGACATGCTTCCTGGGTACCTGGCGAAGCTCGTGAACATGAATGGGGGAAAAAGCCACGCTAACTGTCAGCTCATTAGTTCTTCATTAACCCCTTCACTGCTGACCTATATTCCCCGCCTTTTGCTGACCTTGTTTCCAGGAATAGCACTAAGCGGGTGATCCTTTTAAAGTGCTATTTACTCTGTGGTAATGCATAAAATGCATACAATGTCTGTATCATTTTAAAGGGAAATGAATGAACCGCTATGATCATCAGCAACAATTTCTCAGATAGCTTTATATGTTGAGAGTGATCAGCCATAGCTCGAAGCTAGAGTGAGATGCTAGAACTGTGAAGAGAGAGTGACTGTTCAGTGACGTTATAATTCACGTTATTTCGGTCATTGGTGTCAAACTCGGGAAGAAAAGAGCTTTCAGGGGAGCTCACTCTCAATACTAAATTACAATTACCGGCTGAGTAGGAAACGAAACGAAATAGCGATATTGCCTGGCATACACTGTCGTCTACAGCGCATAGGAGGGCCCAATTTATGGATGTACACCGCACGCTGAGCAGCAGTGAATCGGTTAGTCTGCTTACCCACCAATTAGTAGCCTTTCGACACACCAGGCTTTAGTAGGTCATGTAGGGCCTACACACAATGTAGTCTCCAACACAGTACAGTGCCTCACAGACGTGAGCGTCTCGCGCGCTGGTCATCACCTCCCTACCCCCCACTCCCGATTGCTCACTCCCCTTCCCCTTCCCATTCTCAGTTTGTCGCAGGCAAGTGCCACGGTCAATGCCTCGCCTTTCCATTTTCCCCAGCAGGCGGCCACAAACAGGCCTTACAAGGATGCTGCAACAAAGTTTGCGCTGTGTGTAGTGTGCACCTTGCGCTGCTCGGTCTTTGGTACCATAACTCCATCCCCCGCCTCTTGTTAGTTTCAAGAATCAAGGGAAGCAACCAGCTATAAAAAGTAGTGTTGTCTTTTACCACTGACCTCCCCTCTTTCTTTTATATTCCTCTTTGGCTTTATATTTTCTTTTTTTGACGTTTTTGTATATCGACATCAAATCCACTACTCAAAGCATTATATCGATATATAAGCGAATTATACTGTACGTGCAAGTGTCCAATGCTGACAGATTTTTAGATCTAGAAATTTAGTTTTTCATCGTCATTGCTAAACGTATTCTCCTGTAAAATCGTATGGAAGCTCTGTACTTGTACCATTGCCATAGCTGTCTTCAAAGAGCGAACAGTGATTTCATACACTTTTCAGTCCTCTGTTCCCTTATAATTTAAGTTACTGTCTACTCTTTTATACATCAGAGTACCAAGTGTTCGTGATCATGGCGGAAGTTCCCAAGATAGCCGCAGAGGCAGTTCTTGCCAAGAGCGAACCTATGCCTGAGGGCTCTGAGGTTGTTCGTGGCTATGATTTCAATGAGGGTGTGAACTACCACAAACTGTTTGAGTCAATGGTTACAACAGGATTCCAGGCCACCAGCGTGGGACGAGCCATTCAGGAAATCAACAAAATGGTAAGCAAATGTGGGCTTGGATTCCGTCATTTTTCCAAAACTGTGTGCTTTTGTGTTGCAGTAAGTTTGAGTAACACCACCCCATCCAAATGAGTTATAAATCTAAATATCTAAATACAACTTGTGGTGGGTATGAAAGTATAAGTATAGTCAAACCTCGTGAAGAAGTTACATCGTTTTAAACATAGTAAAAAATGCGAACTTCCCGACCGACACTAGCAAAGTCGCTTCTGGGCTAATTAACCCCGTGACCCCGAGTCAGGGAGCTCCGGTGGGCTGCTGAGTCACGCTAACTAAAAGTAACAGAATTGGGCGAAAAGTGACGCTGTGATTGATTTATTTTCATTCTGGTTACCATGTACGTAGAGATACTGATACTTGGTGCCTGGTTACCATGTACGTAGACACTCCGTTTTTGTATTAAAAATTTATTTTGGCCGGACCCTAACCCGAACACAAATATGAATTAAACTCGGGAATCTTAACACTCGCCAAAATAATAATAAAAAAACCCTCACAATCTTCACGTTTACCTGGCAAATTATCAGTTTTTCAAAATGGCTGCTGATGGAACGTGAAGGCAATTTCCAAAGGGTGCCTAAAGATCTAGATGCTCAAGTAGCGGGTTAGATCAAAATATTTGTAGTAGTAGTTAGGCCTAGTGAAAATAAAGGCAAAATATCTGATTTATTTTGGCTCAAAGAGTATTGAAATATCGATAATCACTTTATGTTAGGTTAGTTGTCATAGGTAATTGTAATAGGTAGGGATAAGGAC